CTAGGACCCAACACAATATTTTACAATTCGGAAGAGGGATGTCGTAATCCAATTGTAAAATATTTGAAGGTAGGTAAATGACGATTTACCAATTTCCACCATGAAAAACGAAAATGAACATTAGGTTTTAAATGGATTGAAATTCCTAGATTCTTTGAGATTCATTAAACTTTTCAAAGGCATGTTTAAATATCGATTATGCCATTCAAGTTTGTGACCGGGATGCCGAGGATCACAAACAAGGTGTGAATAATCATACAAATTAGTTTGGTACACTTAATGTTACAAATCATCCAATCAATGTGCCTGTTAACCACACACGCTTCATTGATCCGTGATTAACATCGAGCTAGCCTTTGTCACACACTGTTAGTCCCAGATTAGTGTGTCTGTTAACCACACACGCTCCACTAACGACTTAACAAAGTGCAAAGTGCAATTTCATGGGTTACCACCAAATTCACATTTTTCTAAGTAACTAAGATTGGAAATTTATAAGTGTTTAGTTACTTTATATTTTCATTATAATTTTAATGAGAATTAATGTCTTATCCTACCCGTTCGGCTAACGACCCTCCACCAATCAAGGAAGCGGTGGGTGAGAGTGGACATCCATTAAACCGCCATTTTATAGGTAGTAACCTTATACCCCCCTTATTGACTGGCTTCGTGAATGAGGCCTACTAACGGTAAGACCGACTTTCTACTTATACATATAATATATTAAACTTTTAATATTATAATAATATAAGAGTGTATTTTAAACTTTTAAAATATTAAGTGGTTTAATCTATTAATTAAACTATACTCTTAATTTAATTAAACTTAAACCATCAAGATGTAATATGAATTATTCAAAACATCAAGATGCTAAAACAAAATTAAAACTATTTAATTTATTATTAAGTTGTGAACCCATGAGTTACACTTTTGAAAACTTTTCAAATAACTTTAGTTTTATAATTCAGTGCCTCATAAAAAAAATTCAAATTCCAAAATTTGAGGGAAAGTTTTGTAACTCTTGAAAACTTTTAGAATTTCATAAAAGAGACTTTCCAAGTTTCATAACTTGAGGGCAAGTTATGAAACTCTTCAAAGTCATTTAAAACAAATTTTGTAACCTTTAAAGACTCTTGGAATTCATAACTTAAAGAGTTAATGAATGAGAGTTTTCACATCCATAACTTATGGAAGTTTCAAAACTCTTAAGATCATAACTTTTAAAAAAGACATTTGAGTTCCAAAATTTTATAACAAAATTTGTAACTCCTTAAAAACATTTAGATCAAACTTTTAAACCAAATAAAATAATCATATCATTCTATCTTTTAATAAATTGATCTGATTCAACTCTTGTAGTAAAGTTACTCAAATTTTACAAATAATTTGTTTTTCATAAAATCAAGTAATTATCTTAAAATTTGACAAACTTCATGTTTTTTTCAACTTTGAAAATCAAACATTTGCATCAAATATAATAAAAAACAACCCATAGCTCTGATACCACTGTTGGGTTTAGTATACTACAACATCCTATGGTGCACATACAACCCTAAATGCTTTGGATCTATGTTTTCTCTAATTATACATGCAATATTGTTTCCAAAGCATTAAGCTTACAACAAGCATACAATTGACATAAACAACATAAAATACTAGTTAGGAGTTTACATCTTTATGTAGCTTGTAGAACTTGTTGTATTTAGCCTTTAAGAACTTAGCACCCCAAGTGTGATGCCTCAAACGGTTCACAACACACCTAGGACAAAGGAGAACTTGAGAGAGATGTGGCTAGCTCCAAAATCTGCTCTAATGAACTCCAAGAACTCTAGTGTTCGATTTTGGATGCTAAGGGAGTCCTTTTATAATGTGACAAAGTCTAGGGTTACATCCATGCAAACCCTAATGCCCATGACCTTTCATATTACTTAGGATTTATGGGTTAAACATCCATGGACTACCATATTGGTTTAGCCCATCGTAAATAACAATTGACCCACACTATAAGAATCATTGATTTACCAAATCAATCTCCATATATTTAATTAGTCTCTTTTGATCATATAATTAATTCTTGATCAATATTAATTAAATAATATGATTTCATATTAATATTTTAGAACTTATAATATATTAATAAATCATAAGTAACCTCTTACTCAAGTATCCATCCTATCAAATTGTCCTGGTGATATGCAACCCGAAATGGACCATGCTACTCTCGAGTCAAGTACATACCAATTATAGTTATGGACTTAGACATATAATCCAACATTTGGATCATACATACGATCTGTAAAACATGATAAAGGGATTGCATCGAAAATCTACACAACCACCATGGGAAAACCCTTTTGAACGTTGCTACTGTTCGACATTGTTCACATGGATCTACCTTGCTATCAGACCTATACAACCACTGAAAACCCCTAAGATCTAGGGTTTCGAACGGAGGTGGAGTTAGGGTTTCGAACAGAGATAGAGGCGTAAAATAGTGGATATGTTCTTCCTTTTTTTGTCTGATGAGGGTGAGGGAGAAGACGGTGATGGTGGTGCGCAAACGACAATGACAGCACGCAGGTGAAGGGTGTAGGTCAAAATGCATAACCGCAACGATGGGCTTTCAGCGTCGGTGGTTTCCGGAGGAAAGAAGGAAAGGTATATATCAAAGGTGGTGACCAGTGGTATGCAAGTGGTGATGGCGACGATGGTTGCTCCGATATTAGTGTAGAGATTAAGGGATTGTGAGAGTGGGCCCCATTTTTTTAAACATTTTGTTAATAATAAAAAAAATTAGGTATAAATCAAAAAAGAATTAGATAAAAGATAAAATAGTTTTTTTAGGTCTGGTCAACGTATCATTTTTACGGTATAAGAGACGGTTCGAGTTAACTTTTAAAAATAAAAATTAAGTGCGTCTTTTAACACATGCACGAGGGACATTTCATATAATTTACTTCTCGTGCATTTAGTATAATTTACTCTATATATGATATTCTATTTTTTTTATTATGCTATATAACCTTTTGTCTTTTGTTGAAATCTCCAAGACCATGTTTAGTTGTTTACCGATCAAAAGAATTAGTCCATTTGGTTCATACATTTTTAATAAATTAATATCTTTCAATCAAAAGACTTGTCTATTTGTTTCACATATTTTTTTTAATAAATTAAAATCTTTCAAAACAAATGGAATGAGGAACCAGAATTTGAAACAGTTTGTGATTTGGATAACATAAAATGACATGAAATTTGGAAAGTCATTAGACATAATTATCATTTAGATGTGACATAAAGTAATTAAATGCTAGTTTTGTAAATGAAGGAAGAATAAAAGACCCATTATAATGGGTGTTGTCACTTGTCACCATAATTGTATGGTGTTTTCAAAATTAATTACGTCTTTAGAAATAAAAGATAATGAAATTTAATTTTTTTTCACCTTGTAACATGAAGTCGAGTCTTAAATCCGAACAATCACCTAAATTTTTTTTTTTGTAATAGCTTTTTCAATTAGATTATTGGTTAAGTTTCTGGTTGCAATATTACATATCATAAATTAAATATGTTTGTTTAATCATCATATTTACTTTAATAATTTTGCATCAATGATATCAATGTTCTTATAAAAACTATATCCATGAGTTCCATAATTAATCTGCATTACTTTTATTGTTAACAATTTTGTATCAGTGATAACAACGTTCTTGATAAAACTATGTCCATGAGCTCCAACCGACAATATTCAGCTATGCAGCTAGTCAATAAAACATAATCAAATTTGTAATAATTATTGTACATACTTTGCAATGAGACTCGATATCAAAGCCAATTCCAAAATCTAATGAACTGGCCTAAAAGGTTCCTGTTCAACATCCCAAAAATCATTAGTGCCTCTCGGATTGATAGTGAGATCAACTGCATCAAAACCACAATATTTACCAAAAACATGTCATATAATGACATGGTAATTTGAACAAATATTTAAAAAACATCGTATATTTACTCATATATTATATCATATCGTTGCAGAAACAGTTAAAAATATTTTAACTAGGTGCTAAATAAGCAAAGTATTAAGTTATAGTACAAAAACTTATAAATTTAAATCAATACTACATATGTAGAGTGATTGTTAAAGAGAAAACATGTAGAATTAAATTGGAATATTACATATTTTTATTCTTTTAATTGCGATATTGGAAACGTAATTCGACGCTTCTAATTAATTGGTTTGATACATCACACGAAGCCTTTAACCTTAAGGTATCGTTTGTACGATGCAGTTGGAGAAAAAGTGAAACTATCAATTTCATTTTAATGAAAAGAAAGTGTTTATTTGATGGAAAGGATCAAATGATATTTCTTTAAAGGATATTCTTACGTTTTATAAAGTTTTATTCTTTAGCCATATTTGGTTTTTGTCCATGAAAATTACAATATACCATATTATTTATTTACATATCCTTTCTACAAGTTTTACGAGTTTAATTGATCATAATTTTGTTTTCAAAATCATGTTAACATATATTTTCATTATAATCTTATTTGGGTTTTATCACTATGAAATTTTTATTATGCTTATTTTTTGCATTTTTAACCATAAAAAATCATTAAATTAAAATCAAATTATGTATATAAAGTAGAGTACTATATGTTGTATTTATAAATTATATGAAAAATGTTTTTTAATTCTTAAATGTCAACCATTTCATTTGCTTGTTTATTTCATACTATCACATGATCAAACCTTCGAGGACAATGAATTGGCCTTGCAACAGCTTTGGGCTAACTTTCAAACTGTAGTTGCCACCCTAACCGATATAAAGAAAATGCGTTGCAAAGAAATGATATTAAATGCAATGCTTTAGCTTCACTCCTACTCCAAACAACTCATACTCATTTGTTTTGCATTACGCCTAAAACATAAAATCATGCTCTTCCATTCAACTTCACACAAGTGTTAGCATACCATCAAGAGAGCAAATAAAGACTCTTCAATGGGTGTGATCACAAAATCACCTCGTGGGAAGCTCTCTTTTTCTATCGTTGTTGCTTTGATCTTTTCATTCACCTTCATCATTCTGTTGTATACCGAGAGAATCAACTTGCTCTCGTCCACCACCGTTTTCAACACCAAATCATGTGCGAAAAGGGGTTATTCCAAATCTACAAAGAATTCAATACAAGGTATGTTTATTCTGTAATTGTATTGTATTTAACATTCAATGTATCGAGACTGATGTAGTGGAGTCTCACTCTTGACTTTTTGTATGTGCAAAAGACATGAATATACTCTCTGGCCACGTCATTAAAAGTAGACCTAGAAAGTCTGTCCAATCTAGTTTCACTTCCATTCACTCGAGTCTTGTCCTGTGTAACAAACACAACTGTACTGATCATGGTTAGATATATATTATATGTGACACAGATGAAAGAAACGCTACGGAGGAGAATAGACTCAAGTCCATTCTCGATGATCGGTTCATCTTTGAGGCAGGCGAATGCAACACTGCAAGAGGGAAATGGGTCTACAACCAGTCGTTTGAACCCTTGTACACTGATCTTTCTTGTCCGTATCTCGATAGGCAAGTGTCTTGTGTTAAGAATGGAAAGCCTGATTCTGATTATCGACGATGGGAATGGCAACTCGATGGTTGTGTCCTTCCAAGGTGAATTTTTTTCTATAATTAATCCAACCATTTTGGGCAACAAGTTTATAACTAGTTAATGAGTTTACTTGATTCAGGTTTGATGCAAAATTAGCACTTGAGAAGATAAGGGGGAAGAGGGTCATGTTTGTAGGAGACTCGTTACAAAGAGGGCAATGGCAATCTTTTGTTTGTTTGGTGGAGTTTCTTATACCGAAAGATCAGAAATCAATGCGAAGAGGTCGTGTTCATTCGGTTTTCACAATAAAGGTAATGTGGAAATGAATTATTTATAGTTAAAAAAATAAAAATGGTGTTTGATGAGTGACAAAAATAAGGTTGGTTGAGATTTGAACAGGATCACAATGCTACGATTGAATTCTATTGGGCGCCATATCTGATAGACTCGAATACAGATGTACAAATAATAGGAGACCCGAAGAAGAGAATACTTAGAGTGGATTCCATTGAAAAACATGCTAAACATTGGATTGGCGTTGATGTTCTTGTGTACAATACTTATGTTTGGTGGATGACTGGTACCAAGATCAAATCCTTGTAAGTTATTTTACCCCAAGCCTCTTTTTTCTTTTTCTTTTTTGTTTAGCTAGTATGATGACATTTTGGTTTTTTTACACAAATAAAGATGGGGTTCATTTGCAAATGGGGAAGATGGATACGAAGAATTAGATGCATCGGTTTCCTATAGAATAGCTTTGAAGACATGGGCAAATTGGATTGATTCGAACATCGATCAGAACAAAACCCGTGTTTTTTTCACCACCATGTCCCCAACTCATCAAAGGTAAGGTCTTCCATTTTTTTATACAAGGAGGCTTTTAATATGAATCAATATTACGAGTAGCTTGAATTGATTATTGATGTAGGAGTGCGGATTGGAACAACAAGGGAGGGATGAAATGCTACAATGAAACGAAACCGATAATGAAAAAAGGCCATTGGGGAACAGGATCTGATAAAAGAATCATGAGTGTGGTACGTAGCGTGATTGGAAAAATGAAAGTTCCAGTTACTGTGGTCAACATAACACAGTTATCAGAATATAGAGTAGATGCCCATTCGTCTGTATACACGGAAATGCTAGGTAGATTGTTGACTGATGAGCAAAAAGCTGATCCAATGAAATTTGCGGATTGCATACACTGGTGTTTGCCAGGAGTTCCAGATACCTGGAATCAAATATTTCTTGCGTCTTTGTAGCACAGATGATGTGATGATGACAGGTTGAAACATACATTTTTACAAGTATTTTGTGAAAGATTTAAGTAGGTGTTGGTAAAACTGTGTTTGATCATTGATGTTGTATGGGTTCAATTTCAATCAAGTAAATGTACATCTTTTACATTTTTTAGGAAATTTCCATTCCATTTGATAATTTTGGATGAGTTGGGTTGATACTTGATAGTTGTTGATACGTACACACTGAGCCATATAAAAGAAGAATGATTACAGCCATACTAAACGAATAAATAATACAATGATAAATACTTTTATTCAAGTATTCCTTGGTGTTCACATATCTTATGTTAAAGATACTAAAAAACCTACCGCTATATAATAATTATTTTTGCTCAATTATTCAGAAGCTTTTCATGAAAATTCTTGGCTTTACCAAGCAAAAGCCTCTTGTCTGCTCCCAACCACACGCCATCAACAGGAACTGGAGACTGGAGAGATTTACATTTATTAAAAAAAAAAACATTTATTATTCTTGCTGCCTTTTCAAACGAAACAAATGTAAAAGAAATTTACCTTCAGTTTAGGGCAAGATTGTATGAACAAGAGAGGGTGGGGTGGGTAGGTTAGGTCTCAATGTATGCAGGGAAACTGGCCTTCCCCAAATAAACCTGTTGCATCTCCTCTCTCCATATCTGCATATGCATTGCATCACCAAAATTATCATAAACAAAATGCATTATTTTTGGTGCTTAAATTCATACTGATACACTTTTCAATAAAATAGAAATACAAACCACATCTCGGAATTCAAGTCGGATGTGTGGTACATTTGTCTTGTGAATATCATTTCCATCTGGCCCTCTCTTGTAGTACTCTTGCCCAATCCAATGAGACTAAAAAAACACAAATCACTTTCAAATTTTACTTACCCCTTTCACTTTCACATAACACCAACCAACCTACTAAGTTGCTAATTATTTATAAGCTTGAAACAGTTTTTTTTTTTACCTTGAGAACATGGGAGAAACCTGATTGGTAAACGGAATTACGTGCTATCTCACAAAGATCACATGAACTCAACTTCCAGACCTGTAAAAAAGATATATTGAATTCCCAGAATGACAATCATATATAGTATATTCACATCACATATTGCAAATAGGAATAGGAATAGGAATGCTTACAGAAGCAGCAATACTGTATTCCTCCACCAAGGGCTCCTTTGTGAGATGGATTTGTAAAGGATCATCGGTAGATAGGGAAACATTAAGCCCACGTAGAAAAAACATCGGAAAAGGATTCCGATGGTAATCCAGAAATAACGAGTTGTTGCTTAAAGGCGACATTGCAAGCCCAATCTGACCAAATAATAATAATAACAATTTTATTCATCAGATCAATCAATAAGAATTGAAAACAGGAAAAAGGGATTTGTTAGTTGTTACCTGAGCAAGGTAGTATAGATACTGAAGGACAGGAGATTTTCTGAGATTAATTCCATGTGCAATGTTGTGAGTTGTAAGAAATGAAGCAGCTAAGTGGTCAATGTCACCCGCCTGATCACAAACATACATACAACAATGTTTATTTCCAATTAAGATAAGGGTATTTACGTCTTTTTCACACATACCTCCCCACAATGAGGACGGAATCTAATAGTTGTCATGCCCTTTGATTCACGAAGCTTATTAAGGGTATAAAGATTGGCATAACAATAGTAGACATAGTATGAGAATGCAGGATTGAAGATGTTTGTCCATTGGGAAGGTGTTGGCATGTGTTTTGTAGGGCGTCTTTCAGGCTTGCTCTCATCATCCACCAAATCCAATCCCACCACCTGTATTGTATTATTTATAAGATCATTACATTAAATAAAAATAAATTAAAGTTTGAGTGGTGTTACCTGTTTCAAGAATACATGCAACTGGGGATGTGAATCTGGATCGATTGTAACCTCAAAGAGTGGAAGGAAGACATTATCCAGAATTGTCTGAAATGATGTCACAATACCCATTTCTTTGTATATGTTGTAAAGCCGGGGTAGCTGAACAACATATAAATTATAATGTTAGTTGATATTAAAGTATAAAGATTTGGTGCCTTTTAACCAAAGAAAATTAGGATATGTATCATTGTATTGTAGTAAGAGAGCACCTGAATCAACCAGACAACATTCTCACTGTATAATTCATTGTTTACAATCCAACTTGCCAAATTGTCCCACTCACTTTGTTTTCTTCCATATATTGATATTCTGTATTCAGCCATCTATCGAAAGGAAAAAAGCTTCAAGTGTAAGTGTCATACATGAATCAAAACAGATAAAGGGAATACATAACATGGCTTTCAAAAATCAAAACTCACTTGATATTTACTCGCTTCAAGATCTGCAAACACTTGGCTTGTTACCTCAGCAAGGAAACGACCTGAAAAAGTAGTAATCACGAGTTTTATTTTATAAGTTGTTTTGAGTTTACACTTTACACCCCATTAATATGTGAAACTTACCCTGAATTAGATTGTCCTGTTTCAAGAAAATCTCCCGAAGCCTACTTTGTCCACAGGGGTTATATTTCAGATTGAATTTATCAAAACGATGGAATGTGCTCTTGTCTGCATGCACATCTAATAGATCAACATTCAAGTCATATCTGCATTGAAGACTTATGATCAGAAAAAAACATTCACACAAGAAGATACAATTGTTCTACAGATAGTAAAGTTACCCAGTTAAATCCAAGCTCTCAAAAACCTCTTTTAAGGTCAGATATGTCCCATCACGAAATATTACAACCTGAAACAGGAAAAAGAAAAAGAAACTTTGATTCATGCAAAAGAGAAACACATTTTTAAATGAGCAAGAAACAAATATGAAGCATTACCTCATCTGGTTCCTTTCTTAACTTTGACTTTATGAACCTCAACAGATGCTTTTGATTCATGCATGCAGAGTGATGAACATGAGTGTCAACTTTACGTACATTATAAAAGTCGCGATGTGGTGCGCTTTTCTGAGCTAGGAATTCTTTATCCGCATTTAGCATCAAATGAAGGTTGAATTTCTTGATGGATATTTGTACCATGTCACAAATTCAATTAAAACTTATCAAAAACAGAAACTTGGAGAAATTTTATTAAGTAAAGAAACTAAACCCAAGAGTGTCTACCTGTTCTAGAAGACCAAGGCGATGATGACATACTGTTCTTGCATTCCCAGCTGCTAATATCTTAAGGATGTGATGAAGGTCAGTGAAAAATGTAGTTGCATCAGCAACTGGAAAAAGCTTCTCTTTTGCTGAAAAGGAAAACAATTACACTCAAAACTCAAAACTAAAGACAAAACCACCACCAACATCAAGAATCATGATATCTTACAATCTTTATCTGCATAAACATGAACCACACCATCTTCCATTTGAAAATAATGCTGCAAGCAATTGAATATCAAGTCAAGATTCAAGAAAATAAGCATCAAGTACAAACTTGTGTCAGAAACTTCAAACCTACATCAGATTTTGTCTCGGGGGTATACTCGAAAGGATTTGGATTACGCTTTGGAGTACTAGGATCAGATATAACTTGTTTCTCCCATGGAGCAATGCTTTCTCTAAACACATAGCTCTTTCGCATTTCAAGACAACCTTGTAATGCTCTGTAAACCTCTGCTTCATCAGAAGATGGTGTCTCTGCAATATGAGGAGTTGATGAAGATTATTCATTTTTCATATACTCGTGTGTATGTGTTTCTGTGTAGATGAGATTGCAAAATGAGAGAGAGAAGATTACCAGATGGGCTGATTCTCAGCCTTACAAAGGTTTCATGCTCTGGTTCTTTTCTAAGAATATCAGCAGCTACAGGATCTGGTTGAACACCATGCAGGTCTCCAGATACACTATGTGAGCGGATCATGGTGGATGCAACTATGGGTAATTGCTCTCCATTTTCATTATTATGTTCTGGTAAACTCCCATGAGCCTGTTTGTAAATGTCAAACAGATGTTAAAAGTGTGTGTTTCAACCAAAACAAGATGGGATATCGGATATCAGTTACAAACACACACATAGATCTAATAATGTATCAAAAGCTTACAGCATTTCCATTAGTATGAAGGTATGTTGTATCCAGATCAGCATTGTCAGTCATATCAGCATCTTCTTCAGAGCCTTCGCCACTTTCAAGAGCACTTGCACTTGCAATTGGAGACTTTGGAGAAGTCGGTCTAGGTAGATGCCCTGTTTTCTTGGTTGACCCAGCGGCTGAGTTCTCTACAACAATTATAGAATGCTTTATAACAAGAGAAATCAACATTCGTTTTTAAGTATACATCATATTCTACATGGTAGCTATGACAATCTTGGTTCCAATTAATGAATAATATGCTAATTATACACATCAATGCAGAAGATATGTGATAATTTTATTAATTCACAGGGTGACATGGGGATCATCCGCTTAGATGATTACATATTATGACCATGCAATTAAGTGGCAAATGTTTAAACAACTTGAACAGTAGTATGCAACTATATTAAGCCAAAGTTCACCCTTGAATCTTGATGATATTCCAATTAAAGGAAGAATTGTTAATCAGGCGAATATTGGCACATTTTCCTACCTTCAGGAAGCGTACGGAGTCTAGGCAACCCAAGTGGAATAATATCCGCATCGCCAGCACCACCGGCACCTGAAATCGCAGTGACGTCAGGCAAGGAAGTCGAAGGCCGCCGGTGATATCCATCATTTCCTCCCTTCTTCCGTCCCCCACGGTTTCGCTTCTGCTGCTGCTTTTCAGCACTACTATACTTCCTGTAATGCAAAGGCGAATCGTCATCATAAGTCCCGTCTTCTCTCTCCCTCTCAACAGATTTTGCAAACTCCAGTAATTGATTTAGGGTTTTCCGCTGCATGTAGTACGCCGAAACGGCGACGAATGAGGCTCCGAATAGTGCCGCCATAGCTAGATGCAACGCATAAGCATCCATTTGGTATGTGGAATATGTATGAATTTGTATAATGTTGTTGGAAGAGT